CAACAAATGTCCGTTGACCTCGCCCCCTTCATTTTTCTTTTCTCCTCCAATTCCTCTTTGTCTCCCACTACCAGGATTAATTTTCCAAAACACATAATCACCCATGCTGTTGTTCATATCATCCTGAGATTCTGACTGGTGTGTCATCAGTTTTGCTACTTAATGTTCACACATGGATAAATGTGTGCTATTTGTGTTCATTTTGTGATTCTTGAGGTAGTTATATTGTGTGTTTGTGTTTTCTAAATGAGAACATGGTTAAACCTGTGCAAAATGATGCCGTTCTTGTGTAGAATTTTGCAGAAAACACTGAGCAAATTTGAACACAGGGGAAAAGTGTTAAAAGTTTTGAGAAACGTGTCTTTGTTTCGAGAACTGTATGAATGGTTTGGAAAATTGGGTCAAATGAATCAGTTGTAGTGTGTTAGCAATCGAGAAAAACTGTAATACAACCCAATTCTGAAAAAAAAAAAAAATGCAGTCTTCAGTATTGTTCGATGTTAACACATGCAAAGGTGTTGTTCCCTTTCGAACGTTCACTTCACGTTGTGTATGGGAAAACTCCTGTTTTACTCTGTACTAAAGCCTGATTTGTTCACGTTTGTGTAGCTGCACAAACCAATGGCGCTTTAGCCCGCCAGAAAGGGTGGAGCCGACGTGTATATAAGTCGGCTCGCAGCGCCATTTCATCAGATCATTCTCCTTCAGCGACGAGGATCATCTCTTCGCTGACTCTGCAGTCAAGAAGCCGAAGAAGGAAGAAGCTCAGCCTGCAGCTCGCCGCCGTAGAAAATCCCCGGCAGCGGAAGAAGCGGTAAGCCTTCCCCTGTGGCCATCCGGCACTTAAAGGGGTCATCGGATGCAAAATTAACTTTTCAAGTTGTTTGAACATAAATGTATGTTGGAAGTGTGTGTACACATCCATCCTATAATTATAAAAATCCATCCAGTGTTTTTTTTTAAATCCCTATTTTAAAATCCCCTTTCTCAAACCAGGCTGTTCTGAGATTCCTGTCAGAATGATGTAGTTCTGTACAGGCCCCTCCCACGATAGTTGATTGACAGTAATGTTTCAACACAGACTGGACTGGTGTCTTACCTTAGACC